GGAAAACATTTTCCTTGAGTGAAGATGGTTTTTATTTTCCACAAAAGAATGAAAACATTTTCTTTTCTATGTGACATTTTCCATGTCAATTAAACACGCTCTAAGAGTGCATTTGATTGCCTATATTTTTCATGAAAAATGTGTTTTTCCACCCAAATTTCTATTTTTGTGATTTTTGATTGCCCTTTTTTTCCATGGAAAATGTTTTTTCCACTTTTGATCATGTGATCATATTTTCTTCAAAATCAACGAAAACATTTTATTTGGGAAGAGTAGGATTTTATTTTTCACGGAATTCTCTCTCTCTCTTTCTCTCTCTCTTATTTATCCACTCTCTCTCATTAATCCACCAATAAAAAATGAACCAGTATAATATTTTCTAAATTAAAAATTAAATCAATCGAACACATTTAATTGACAATTTCCATACAGATAAATTCTAGACAATTGAATTACCTAAAATTTATTTTCTTTTCATGCAAATTCCATGATTACAATCAAACACACCCTAATATATAGAGTGAGTTTAAATCTCCATCTCTCAAGAATCAAATTCACTATTTAATTTAAAATTAATAATTTGTTACACTAGTTAAAATAACATGGAACTCTTTGTTTCTCTAAAGTAAACAAATAAATAATATCTTTGTTCTATATTTTAAAGAGCAACTCTTAAAATTATGTTCCAAGTGAATCTTTAAATTAATATTTTAATTTAAAGAATAGGTTTGGTACTTTAATCTCTATAATTAAATCATTCAAAGTATTTCAATTTTCAATTGAGTAAAATAATATAACGATTTGGTGGGAAGCTATTGAAAACAAGGGCCAAATGTTATATGTGCCAGGGCTGGTGGTGTAATACTAAATGTTATAAATGATGATAGTGTCATCTGTCGTGATGATTGTGAAAATAAACTGCAAAATATGGGTAACACTATTATAAGTGATCGCAGTAGTGACAAGGGCGGCTTTGAAAACATGGTAATGAAATGAATGTAACATAAGTTTCTAATATGTCACACTCTATGTTGTAAAATTGTTAGAATAATAAAAAAAATTTAAAATATGGAATTAGTAAACTACTTTTTAATGCATATGTGAATTATTCCCTTAAAATAACACCAAAAGTATGCTTAACCGGGCCACTAAATTTCAGTTTATTTACAAGAATTGAGTGTTCAATTTCATTATGCATGTGTTTCGCGCGGGTAGTCGCTAACAATTAAAAAAAGGATCAGACGATTGTGTAAGGAATAGACCTCTTGAGATAAAGTCCCAAAAAGGAATGTTTTATTGGCGATGATTTACAATTGAAAATAAACAGAATGGCTCCAAGAGGTGCAAGCACACGAGTACTAAAAGAAGTGTTTAAATTTAAACTAAGAAATTAAAATTACATATTCTCTGTTTGAGAGTGTTTGATTCGGAGCCTTGTTCTCTATGTTTTCTCTTCCTTTTTATATTCCCTTGATGATTTTCTCGTGACAGGTCGCTTGGAAACTACTTGATTACTTTATAACTCCTCACTTTCTTTATGGTGGCTAACTTGTCGTGGAACTGCCGTCTCTAACTGCTGCAATTACTCTTTGTCATTCAACAACTTTCAACTAAGCTCCTTGAATCGTGGAATGTGATAAGATTATTCAATAACTGCTTCAATAACTGTTATTCTGGATAACCATAATATTTTATATTTGCTAAGATCCTGGGCGATTCGAAGGTTTGGGCGAGAACGGGGTCATCGCTCTGGGCAACCGTAAGGCACTCCATTCGCTCAGATTCTGGGCGTCTTGCAAACTTGGGCGATGATATTACTGTGTTCGTGGGCTTTCACTGCATTCATCAGTAATCCTTTTTGGACCTTTATACTGGACTCCCAAACTGGGTTTCACTCTTTGGGCTATTTGATTTAGGCCGCACTTTTAGTGTGTCAACAATTGCCCCCCAATATAGCAGAATTAATACCAATTATTAACCTTTGCCATATTTACTTTATATTTTCCAGCAACATTTGAAATTTTCAAGAATTTCAATCATTATTTCCTTCTATAGTCTGAAAAGGTGCAAATTTACAAACCCTTATAAACCCAAAAGACACGCAATTTCATCGCACCACTAAACCACGTCTCTATATTTCACCCTTCCTCCTCATTATTTTATTGTTCATCTTCTTGCTTCTCTGCTACATTTTTCAGGCAAATCTTAACAAAATTGTACTTTGCACCCAATGGCGACTTCACAAACTCAATCTGATGATTCTTTTTGTTTCGAAGATTTCCAGATAATCCTTACTAAGCCGTATGTAAATCCAAACTTCCTTGCACAAGCCAAAGCTGACCTCAATGAATTCTATCTGGGTACATCATTCAATAATGTCGAAACCATTGGACAAGTGGCGGTGGGCTAGCTGTTCCCTTACACTCAAGACCCTCCGTTCCTGAACTCTCTGCCATTAAAGCCGATTCGCCAAAAAGATATTCGCACTTGGCCCAAAGATGATATTATTTTTCGTAGATGGCATGCACGTCTTGTGAATCATGGCACTACCAAGGTGATTTTTGATCGTGCTAAGATTTCAGACTTATTAGAAATTGCTCTTCAACCCCCAATTTTCGACCCAGTGCTTTTTTCGATTGCTTTGAGTTTTTGGTCTTCTGAATATAATACCTTCATTTTCCTTCTTGATCCCATGTCTATTATTTTAAGGGACGTTGGAGCTCTAATAAATCTTTCGCCTTTGGGCGATACCATCTTTTTTGGTATCTTGATTTCCAATGTTGGCTCAAAATTTGACAAGAAACTTACTGAATCCTATTCAAGCATGCAAGGCTTTTATAATCATTTAAGCACTGAACCTTCCCATACTGAGCGTGTGGCCTTTCTTCAAATTTGGATCTGTAAATATATTCTCTGCGTGCCAAGTATGAAACCTTCTATAAGCTACTTACCCATAGCGCATGAATTGACGCATGGTAGGCCTTTGAACTCATGTTCCTTCTTTTTAGCTGCCCTTTATAGAGGCATGACTTCCCTTCAATCTCAACTGAAGAATGGTGCATCTCTCACTGGTAGTGGGTCCCTTTGGTTCACTCAACTGTGGTTGAAAGCATACTTTCCACCACTTGGTGCTCCATCCATTTCCCTTCGTTTTGCTAGCTACTATGAGCTAGCCATTTACCCATTAAATCCTGTAAATATGTCCAGTAGGGACTTTTTTTCATTCTTTTATACCTTAAATTCGATTCCTTCCTTCTTTCCTTTTCCTGCTCACTTGACTCCAGATTATGGGCAACCTCCATCCTGCCTGGACAGTGCGAGCGCCTCTCTGCTTGTTTGGGTTTAGTTTTTTATTGGGAGGGAATTGTTCCACGATATTTTAACTGGAACCAATGCTAAGGCTGAGGTTGAAATATATGCTCCCCAATTTTTTGCTCGTCAACTTGGTTTTAGCCAAACTTTGCCTGTTTCTCCTTGCTATTACAAAAATTTGACAGATCATTTTCACACTATTAATAAGGTAGAAGCACAAGCTATAGATGCTGGCAACATTCTTTTGACGAGCAAATTTTCACTAGCCCCTTTCAATTCTAGCTGTACCGTCCATCCTCTTTTTGAACAGCTCTGGCCATCAGTAAAATGCAGATTGTTTGCAACTGATGCTAATCGTGCCTTCCATTTACTGGATCAGCTAGACACTTCCTCTACTTCTCCTATTTTGGTCACCCCTGTGTCCATTAGGAATCCTTCCTCCTCTGCTCGCGCTAAACATCCTATCCGTCCATCTGCTTTTCCACCTGCCAAGGCTACTGCAGCTAACGGTGCCTTAAGTCGC